GCAATCTTAATAATATATTAGCTATTAGGCTTTAATAGTATTAAAAATAATATAATATAATCTAGTAAAGTTAAGTGTTAAAAAGAGCAGCAGGTTGCTAAGAAGAGGATATATCTTAATATTTATTAGATTATAAGATATTTAATAATAGTTGTAATAATAGTAATAGTAATAGCAATGCAAAGATATAAAGAGATAGAAAACTATAGTACTTAGATACTAATATAAAATCTATCCTTAACCTACGCATAACTATATATACTGCTTTTCTATAGTTAAGCGTACTATAAAAATTATACCTCTTAAGCTTAGCTTAGAGCAGAGTAGTTATTATTATGCCTAAGGCAATTTTTAAGAAGTTTAGGTGTTAGTTAGTAGTGCCTGCACTAGCTTTACTTAGAACTATTAACTAATACTAGATTATATATTTTATACTTTTTTAACGCTTTTTTATACTAATAGTAGAGAGTAATTACTATTCTCTTTTAGTCTAGCTTATTTTTTAATAATACCTCTAGTTTATATTTTATATCTAGAATAAATATAGAAAATAATAATCTTCTTTTTCTTATAATATTTCTAGAATTTTACTACGTAATAGCTCTTATAGCTATTAATAATAAGTAGCTTATATACTCTAATAGAATACGTATAGAAGTTAAAGTATTTAAGCTAAGTAAGCACTAGATTATTATTTATCTAGCTAGTAGAGCTTAGGCTAGCAAATAGGTATAGATAACTTATATATAGATATAAGTTAAGATATAGTTAAGTATAGGTTAACTAAGGTTAAGTTAATGCTAAGACTATATAAGTTAAAGTTAAGTATTATATAAGAAAGTTAAGTCTAGGTTAACCTAGGTTAATTTTATTATATAATACTTAACGTATTTTATAAGCAAACTATCTACCTAACTAAGCTATCTACTTTATTCTACTAAAACGCCTACGCAGCAACGTAGCGCAATACTATAATAAATTTATATACTATAAATATAAGAATATTATTTATTAGAAGCATCGCTATCTTCTATATTCTCTATCTCTACTTTATAAGTATAGACGTTATATCTAGTCTTACTATAAGTACTATAGCGCCTCTCTGCGCGCACTCTCTTTAATAGTCTATTACTATTATTATAATAGTTCTCTGCTATTATAGTAATTAAGTCTAATACCTTACTAACTATTAAGATCTTCTCTGCTTATATATATTATCTTTTATGCGCCTTATACTTTATTATTACTTCTATAGCGTCTTAAAGGTAGCTTATTTCTTTCTATATTAATATTATATTATACGCTATCTACTAAGCGCCTTTACTTAGCTATATAATCTTTTTATCTATTAACTTTACTATAGAACTTACGCAGTTTTATACTCTTTATTAAATAAGTATGCTCTGCGTCTCTATCTTATAGGCGTTATATAGTATCTTTACCTGCTAAGTACTATTCTTAATAGTTATTAATAGTAGAGTATAGAAGCATATATTAAGCTTTAATAACACTGCCTCTAAGTTATATAAAGCTAATCTAGCGCCTTAAAACTCTGCATAAATATTCTTTACTATAAATATTTTCTTAAAAGTAGCTTTAAAAGCTAGTAGAAAGATTTCTTTATTAATATAGTAGATATAACTATATACTAAAGCTAAGATGCTATTACTATATGCACGCTTTAATAGCAAGAAATAAGTAATATTAAGTAGCTATAAGAGGTATAATAAGTATGCAGGCATATAGAGAGTAATAATCTTCTTCTTCTTATAGCATTCTTAGAATTTTACTACGTAATAGCTCTTATAGCTATTAATAATAAGCAGCTTATATACTCTAATAGGATACGCATAAGAGTTAAAGTATTTAAGCTAAGTAAGTGCTAGATTATTATTTATCTAGCTAGTAAGGCTAACTTAGATAACTTAGTTATATAGAAGGTTATAGAACTAGTTTAAGATAAGAACTTTGCCTATAAAGATAAGAAAGAGTAGAATTACTTTCTTTATTATGCTAACGCCTTATACTAGCGTAACCTACTTATAATTACTAAGCTAAAGCTTCTTTGCTTTTCTAGGTTTCTCTAAACTAGTAACTACTAGCTAAGATAATATTTTGCTTATTAGAAAGCTAGACTTATTAAAGTTATATATATTCTTATCTATAACTCTATACTTCTTCTTTATATCTTAAACTAGCGCAAACTAAGGCTAAATAACTGCTAAGTTCTTATAAGTAGCTTACTAGCAATTATATAGATAGCTTTAGCGCTTATATAGCTTAGAAGTATGTTTAATAAAGTTATTAAGCTTAGTTCTTACTAATAGGCTTACTAGCGCGCTCTCTAAGCAGTCTATTAGCTATATCT